GAGAGTCAAGGTCTTGGGTCTTGTTCTGTCACCCAGGCTAGAGTGCAGTGGTGTGGCTCACTGCAGCCTCAAACTCCTAGGCTCAAGTAATGCTCCTGCCTCAGCCTCCCAGTGGACTGGCATGGTATATGCCATCACACCTGGCTAGTTTGTTTTTGTTTTTTTTTTTTTCTAGTAGAGATGGGGTCTCGCTCTGTTGCCCAGGTTGGTCCAGAACTCCTGGTTTCAAAGGCTCTTCCCACTTCATCCTCCCAAAGCACTGTGACTACAGGCATAAGGCACCACCACCAACCAAATTTCATTCTTTTTTAGATTGAATAATATTTCATTGTGTGTGCATGCCACATTTGGTTTATTTATTCATCCACTGATGGACATTTGGGTTGCTTCTACCTTTTGGTTATTGTGAATAACGTTGCTATGAATAGCCCTATCTTTTCTACTGCAGTAGATATACAGTATTTATGTAATTAGATAATGTTGTGAAATTCTTTTATGTGCCTTGGAGCATCGAATGCAATGCTAGTAAGAGTGATCCTTTTAGAAACACAAGGCTAACTTTGCTGCAAACTCACCTGTGGTTTCCCTTCATGTTAGAATAATCTATGAAGCCAGGTGTGGTGGTGCATGCCTGTAGTCCCAGCTATTCAGGAAGCTGAGAAGGCAGGAGGACCATTTGAGCCAGGAGTTCAAGGCAGAAGTGAGCTATGACGGCACCACTGTACTCTAGCCTGGGCAGCAGAGTGAGACCCTGTCTCTAAAAATGAAGAAGGAGGAAAAGGAGGAGAAAGAAGAAGCTGTGAGAATCCTTACCACAGCCCATATACGGCCTTACATGATCTGACCCCAATTTCTGGTCTTGCTATATTCCTAAAACACACCACGTTGACAACCACCTCAAAACATTTGCAAATTTGCTGTGCCCTTATCTAAAACTCCTCTAAACCTTTGCATGGTCCTCGTCTTCCCTTCTCTCAGGAACCAGATCAGAGACCCTGCCTCAGAGAGAGCAACTTATCTAAAATATTAACCAGTACCACCGTCATCTCCATTTGCTTGTCTTGTCTCAGAGCAGGTACCACTTTGGGTCTCTGTCTCTAGAATGTAAGCTCCAAGTAAACAGGAACTTTGCAATTTTTTTTTTTATCTTCTTCAGTATCCCCTGCCTCTGTCAGCACATAAGATGTGTACATATATACAGTGGTGGTCCCATAAGATTATAATGCTGTATTTTACTGTATCTTTTCTATGTTTAGATATGTTGAGATACACAGATTACCATTGTGTTACAACTGCCTATAGCATTCAGTACCGAAACATGCTGTATGGTTTATAGCTTAGGAGCAATAGGCTTTCCCATATAGCCTAGGTGTGTAGTAGGCTAGACCATCTGGGGTTGTATAAGTACACTCTGTGATGTTCTCTACAAGAAATTACCTAGTGATGCATTTCTCAGAACGTATCCCTGTCGTTAAAGTATGACTGTACTGCTCTTTATTGAGAATCAGAAAACTGCTACTCCTTTCAGGCAGAGACTTCTTTTTTTTTAAGTCGGGATCTCTCTCTGTTGCCCATGCTGGAATGCAGTGGCGTGATCATTACAGCCTTGACCTCCTGGGCTCAGGCCAGCCTCCCAAGTAGCGGGAACTGCAGCCACATGCCACCAGTAAATTTTTTTTTTTTTTTTTGTAGAGACTAGATCTTGCTATGTTGCCTAGTCTCGAACATCTAAGCAATCCTCCTGCCTCAATCTCCCCAAGTCCTGGGATTACAGGTGTAAGCCACTGTGCCCAGCTGTGGCAGAAGAATTTGCAAAAAGCCTCTCCCTCTCTTTGCTAAAGCAACTGGACAGAGCCAAGGCACATGGATTTCACCTCACGTTCCTGCCCCCCCCACAAAGCTGAGCTACAGCCCCTCCCAGGCCTGGCACGTAGTAGGTGCTCAATAACTACTGGTTGAGGAGGGAGCATGGGAGGGAAAACCTTCAGTTTCTCTCCTTTACACTCCCCCTTTTAGTTCCTTAGAGGATTCTGTATGAAATTAGATTTGAGCTTTTTCTTGTGTCTTCCCAGAGTCCCTTGATCAAAGCTACACACCAGCCCAGTCTGCCCCCAATGGGGACTCTAGCCCGAGAACCCAGCTTGAATTCTAGGACTCTTTGATCACCTTCTACCATGGGGGATGCACCAGGCAGGGGGAGGGCTCCTGGGCTCTTTGCTCAGGCAATACCCTTTGAGACAGGCGGGCAGTGGATTCACTCTGTCT